TTCTAACTGCCTATATCCATGCATGGTAATCGATCCTTGGAAATGGGAAAAGCTGCACTGGGCTGAGGCCATCAATGGCAGGACGGTATGTGCTAGTTAGTAAATATAGTTAATATATCGATGCTGAGAAACGCGCTCTTCAAAATGTACCGAAACAAGCCCAGCAGTCAACACCGCTATACCAACACTCCATCTTCGCTCAAGCGTTGCAGAAGACCTAAAAAAAANAAAAAAGAAAACCGAAGTGGAAGATCTCAGGATTCAAAGAGCGAGAACTCTTCTTTCAAACTCCCCAACTTCTATAGTAGGACTCTCGAGCATGAGAAAGCTGAAAAGAATGTTGCCGTACTCAACTCGTAAATCAGGTGGTAGCTTTTTGATCATCTTCAGCAGCTCTCCCATCCGCCACGCCCGTTCCGAGTCTCTCAACCTCGGGATACATCGTTCCTCGAGAAGGAGCCATATGAATGTTTCACATGCGGGATTTCTGTCGAGCTTATACTGCGCGACAAGCTCATTGAGATGAGCAAGGAACTGACGGGTTTTGTCGGGTTCATATTGGTAATCCCACAGTGCGCTTGTGATGTGTATCAAACACGCAGTGCGGCTAACCTCATGACTAGGTATATTCAAGTTCATCACATATTTGTGCGAGTCCTGTGGAACCGTGGATGGCCAAGGCCCAGGACAAAGTGAGCAGAAGAGCGGACTGGCCATCTGGAACGCCGTCCGCCTCTGAGGCACCGAAGCCAAGTATGCAGCTGTGCTGTGTTTGAGTTTCAACTCTTTCGCACCTCGAAGGAAATGGACTAGCATTACTCTGTCCTCATGGCCCAGTGAGAACTCCCGTGGCATCTTCAGATACTGCACATAATGCAGGAACACTTCAGCAACGCCCATTGAATCCTGCCAAGGGCGCATGCGCAGAAGTCTAAGTGCCTGGTCTTCGTACTCCATAGCAGCGGACTCATTATCACCGAAGCGATTCTCATGGAGAGACATTCCGGCAAGAGCCATCGCAAGAGAATCATCGTTCTTCTCGTTTCTTGCCTTTTGGATCATTGTGGAAGCCCTGATCAGATGATGTTCGGATTCAGGGCTGGATTTGAGACCATACAATCGGGCCCGCCAGCGAGCGCAATAAGCAAGAATGATCGCTTGAAAGCACACTGGGCGGGCTATGGCTGCTTTATAAATTTGGAGCTTGATGTACTGGTTCTGTCCTGACCAATAACTTAACTTGCTCACCCACGCATCAGCCAGTTCTTGGTCAGCTACAGAGGTGACAGCTGGCAAACTGTCAAAAGGATCTTTCCTAGACGAGTCCAAAATCGTAGCGGGCGATGGAGGAGACCAAGTATCATCTGCGCGAGGTGAGGTTGGCGTTGCTACAGGAGGTCTGGTTGAGTTCTATGTATCAAGCGAAAGTCAGCACCATGAGTAATCATTACAAGCAGCGTGTCAGCTAGGCCCAGACTGGTAGGGGAAAGCATCCGAGTCACAACGTGAAAGCAAGTGATACAGCCCGCCAGCCTATGCAGATCGTCACGAAGCTTACATTGTGATTATGAGGCTGGGTAGACATTCGCCGGAGATACCTCTTCTGATTATGCTGGCGCATGACGTGCGACCTCCGCGCACGGGGACTGAGGTTTTTATCGACGAACAAATAAGTTGTCTGCATTGCGGAAGACTGACCGTCCCGAAGTCCAGGTAAATGACTTTGTTGGCCGATGCTAGCGCGGGTGCTAGCAGAAACTCGAGGGGTAGGATCGGACGTTTCTGTCACAAGAAAAGAGTGAGCTCTTGGTCAGTAGATAAATGTGCGGCAAATCCGCGCCAGCAAAAGGAAAAGAGACATCGAAAAGACCAACGTTGTTGTGCTGATTGAGAAGGAACCTCTGCCTCCAGGACAGGTTCAATTGGTTTTGTTGAAATGCTCATTGAATGTGCGCGTGCCAGTTGTCATTAACTAACCATGCCAGCACTTGCTGTTATCCAGCAAGTGAAGGGAGTAGGTGGAAATAAGAGGAAGGGAAAGTATATGTTAACAATGCATGTCGCAAAAGAGAAGAATCGTTGCAGATTGCGAGAAGAATAGTCATTGCCCACAAGGCTATGAGAAAAGTGGGTATATAGCTTGTCAGGCCACGAGGGGGGGAAAGAGCCGAATTATCTATCCGGCTGGGTCTTCGAAGGCGATTTATGGAAACGGGGAAATGGGGAGGGGAGAGTGGTAGAAGGGGAAAGGGTGTGGAGGGAGGAAGTGTGGGTTGTGGTGGAAAGAAGAGAGGGAGGAAAGAAGAAGATTCAACACAAGAGAGAGAGCGAGAACTCAGCTTGAAGGTGGAATTGGAGGGAGCGGCCAGTGCTCACTCACTAAGTTACCACTTGGTCACCACTCACCACTCATTATTATTATTATTACTGCGTACTTGTGGAAGAACTCACTAATTACTCAGTTAGACACCAACCTTAGAACACCTCCACCACCACCACCACCACCACCACTGCCGCCGCAGAAAGGCCCCACGACCTCCCTTAGGCTACTCCGTATTTCATGTATACTAGTTAGTAGGTAAGTACGGAGTACGGAACTTAAGGTATGGATCCTCATCCTCAGCCTTCCAGTTCCAAATTAGGTATATAGTCTTACCTTACCTTACTAGCTAAGGAGTACGGATACTGCCTACCTACCCGTATGTGACCTATCTACAGTACATTCTACACGGATTGATCCTTTGCCATTGGTCGAGAATGGTTGAGGTTGGCCGGAAAAGGAATCCTATCCGTCAATCTGGTATGATTGGATGTGGGGAAGAACAACTTATGGAACCCACCTACTACCCTGGCTGGTTAGACCACCTTTCTACAAATACAATCAGTCAATAAATGATTCAAATAGACGGGAAGGATCCCGCTTGGTGCGGATTGTTGGAACGCTCGGGGAGCTCCCCGGTGGCTTGTTTTCCCTCGTTGGCTCTCTTCAAATTCGAACTTTTCCCCCCACTCCACTCCAAATCGCGCCTATCTACGTAGCAGACTCTCAGACCTCCAGCTCGGGCCATCTTGTTCCAGAAGAGGCAAAAGGTCTTTGAATAATATACCAGCCAGATCTGGTAGGTCTATCGTGAGGGGAGGCACAGCGTGCATAATGGTAGCGTGGTGCATATTTAGTTGGTGGTGCGTTCTAGCTGCAAATCCTCCCATCCTATCTCTTGGTATGCGTCGTAGGCCCGTCGTTAGACACACTCCCAAATGACTTCCATCATTGACCAAGACAGGAAGAATGGGATCATGACGTTCGTTCCGTGGCCGATCCAGCTTGGGTTGCAAGATCATGACGAAATAAGGCCACTCGGCCATAACAAAGAGACAGGAGAGGCACTGGAGGATTGTCGCTATCGCAGTAGCTTGGAGAAGGTGCGTGTGTCCCTTCGTATTGCTGGCGTACGCTGTCCGTGGCTGCTGTAGGTGCATGGCTAGACGGGACTTAGTCTGAACCACTCAGAGGAGGATGCTCTGGCAAGATTACAGGAAGAATGCGAACAATGACGTCAAGAAGTCTGGCCGTCACGATTGCAAGGTCGTGCTCCCGGGCAATATCAACGGAGGACTATGATAATCGTCTGTAGTATGCCGAAGGTGGATATGCTCTTTATCAGCGGATATCACTCGAGCCTCGAGCCATCTCGCAAAGAGATACCTTTCACCAAGTGCGAATGATACCAGACTGCTACGGGGAGGGTCATCCTCAATGTACATGTGGACTGAGGAGCTCCAAATCTTTTTTACCATGTTAGTCGTATCCAATCTGAAAGTTCAGCTGTCAATCCCCAGTTATGGGGGGGGGGTCGCCTAAACCGCTGCTCGGTGCCCAGGGCCAATTGAGTCAATCACCGCAGCAGCACTGGCGGTTGCAGAACCAAACGCTTCATTTTGCTATTGATCATCGGACCGTTCCGCTTTCCTCGAATAGGAGATCCTTTCTGCTCTGGCAAGTGCCAAATCACATCTGCAACATGCCTGCAGTGGATATTATCCTTGCTATGATACGGCCGATGCCACCACGGACGTCTAAGAAAACGCCTTTTCAACCGTCATCGTATTTCTGGGGAACAAGCCTATCTAGGAGCGCCGAAGCGCAAGCCCCATGACCTTCTGCCCAGTCTTAGGAGAAGAGGATCGATCAGTATGTACGGTACCGGTAGACCGCTAGAGTGCGCGAAATGTCGAGTTGCCAAAAGTACCAGGCTACCCTTGCTGTCTACTCATGCATCAGTTGCAGGACAAGGTCTATGTTCTGCTGATCGTAATTAGTCACTGTACTGGCTGCTCTTTGTCCATGGATGTCGGCCCTATCGAGTGCCATGAAGCTTTTTTAGTGCTCTTTGTTGGTTAGACCTAGTAACATTTGCATGGCATTCCTGGGATCAAGAAGGATGCACGAAGATAAGAGCTCACTGTGACCTAAAAGGAGCTGTTTCTGTGGATTTGTTCTGCGAGTCATGAAGCGTAGATTGTGAGTCTTGGACTTGCTGAAGATACTGCTGGAGGAATGCGGTAATGGCTCATGGAGTCATCACTCGGTCCCGAGTCCACTCCGTTCCGTCCGTACTTCTGCCTCGAAATGGCTAGCCCTAATTCTCAGCTACGGTAGCAGCTTGGCATTCCCAAAGGAATGGGAATGCCCACCCGATAAGTGACTAAGCATCCAAAAAACCACTTAACGCGTCGGGGAAGCGGAACAATATAGTCCCGACGCGTTCGTGTTGCGGTCGCGTCCCATGCAAAGCTCGACGGAAAAATGTCAATGAGAAGCAAAAGTGCCAAACACATTCGTTCATTCCATCAACACATCAACACCATCTGGCCAACCCACCCTCCTCCCTCAAGGCTGGCCCTTCTGATTGACTGGCAGCAAACTGGACACTTACCTGAGATATCATTAGCTCGCCGAGTGTCGTAGTCTCTCATATTCATCTTAGTTGAAAGGATCTCTACCCACGTACTTCAACGGCCTTACCCTGGCCATCCGCCCTTCGCCATGTCCTCCCTCTTTGATGCCGTCCTGCAGTCGGAATTGGGCTCGACGGCGGGCTCTCGTCGTCTTCACTCGGATCAAATCCCCAGTTCACGACCGCAGCCACCTTCAGAAAGCAATGGACCGATGAGCGATATGCACGGTTATCCAGACGAGCAAGGAGCAGACTCTAACGCCTCGACCGTAGGCCGACTCCGCAACCCATATCTTCCCCCTCCTCCCCCAGTGACCGATGTCGCTGGAGAGAAAGTGCAACAGGCGTTCGAAGAACTGCTTGAGACATACGTGGAGGAGCCTTCCCTCTCACAGCCGCCCCCGCCGTCTGCGGAGATCTTGAGCGACAAATACTACATTGCTCAAATCCGAGGCATGGCCAAATTCGAGCTTTCAACGCTCTATATGGACTTTACGCACCTGACCTCCCTAAGCAACCCGATTCTGGCAGACGCGATTGCCAACCAATATTATCGGTTCCAACCCTTTCTCACCAAGGCCCTGAACAACCTGATCGCTAAGTATGAGCCGGAGTACTATGCTGCACATCGTCAAGCCACCGCTACTAGCAGCATCTCTTCGCAAGCAGGTACCTCTATGGTTGCGGGCAACTCAAGCGTCTCCGACAATCCCGATTTGGAGCGTGATATTCGCGAGAAGACTAGGCACCAGCAAACCGATAGGCTATTCTCGCTGGCGTTCTACAACCTACCTCTGGTGTCCCGACTGCGCCAACTTCGGACGTCTCAGATTGGAAAGCTAGTCTCTGTATCCGGCACAGTCACACGTACCTCCGAGATCCGACCCGAGCTCTCTCTCGGTACTTTCACTTGTGAACTGTGTAAGGCAGTATGTCCCAATGTGGAACAGACTTTCCGCTACACCGAGCCCGCACAATGCCCCAACGACACCTGCGGGAACCGCACCGCATGGCGCCTGGATATCGGCAAGAGTACGTTTGTTGATTGGCAGAAGGTCAAATTGCAGGAGTCGTCTCATGAAATTCCAACTGGCAGCATGCCACGGACAATGGACGTTATCTTGCGAGGCGAGATGGTGGATCGTGCTAAGGCTGGTGAGCGGTGCATCTTCACTGGTACACTGATTGTTGTGCCAGATGTGAGCCAGTTGGGATTGCCTGGGGTGCGACCGGAAGCTGTCCGTGATGACGGTGCCTTCCGGGGAAGTGACATTGGTGGCGGCGGTGTGAGTGGTCTCAAAGCTCTTGGTATTAGAGACCTCACCTACCGACTCGCGTTCCTTGCTTGTATGGTGACGCCTGACACAACAACTCCTGGTCAACAGACGAAACAGCAGTTGAATGGCCAGTCACATAATATCCTGGCTTCGCTCAATCAAATCTCAGATCCTGAGACTGATGAAGATCAGGCGCAGGAGGCTTTGCTTCAAAGTCTGACGCCCTACGAAGTTCAAGACCTGAAGAAACTCGTGCATTCGGAGTATATTTATGCGCGGCTGATCGACTCCATTGCTCCCATGATCTACGGTCACCGGCAAATAAAAAAGGGCATATTGCTACAGCTGATTGGAGGAGTCAGCAAAAATACCGAACAAGAGAATCTACAGCTCCGTGGTGATATCAACATCTGCATTGTTGGTGACCCATCAACCAGCAAAAGTCAATTCCTGAAGTAAGTATACCGGACCCCCTGTGGTTTCTAGATGGTGATACTAATACATTCTTACCCAGGTATGTGTGTTCTTTACATCCTCGAGCTGTTTATACCAGTGGTAAAGCCTCCTCTGCAGCGGGTTTGACTGCGGCTGTTGTGAAGGATGCCGAGACGGGCGAGTTCACAATTGAAGCGGGAGCTCTGATGTTAGCTGTACGTGATCCATACTATCGCTGTGTCGAGTTATCACAGAACTAACCATTTTTCTGAACAGAATGGAGGAGGTATCTGCTGTATTGACGAATTCGATAAAATGGATCTCAGCGACCAAGTTGCGATCCACGAAGCCATGGAACAACAGACGATTTCTATCGCCAAGGCTGGTATTCATACTACCCTCAACGCCCGTGCGTCGATTCTTGCCGCGGCCAATCCTATTGGTGGCCGTTACAACCCGAAGACTACATTGCGTGGCAACTTGAATTTCAGTGCTCCCATCATGAGCAGATTCGATCTGTTCTTCGTGGTCCGAGACGACCCCAATGAAACAGTGGACCGCAACCTTGCGGACCACATTGTCAACGTGCACATGAACCGCGATGAAGCAGTCAACCCGGAGCTCAGCACTGAGCAACTGCTGCGTTACATCCGTTTCGCAAGAACATTCAGACCCGTGTTCACCGAGGAGGCCAAGGCTTATTTGGTTGAGAAGTACAAGGAACTTCGTGCCGGCGATGCCCAAGGTGGCATGGGCCGCTCCTCTTATCGTATTACGGTTCGACAGCTTGAGTCTCTTATCCGTCTTTCCGAGGCCGTTGCGAAGGCCAACTGTGTAGAGGAGATTGTACCCAGCTTTGTGCGTGAAGCCTACGACCTTCTGCGACAAAGTATGGTGACTGTCGAGAAGGATGATGTTGAAGTTGATGACGAAGTTATCGCTGCTAGCGGTCACGCTGCCGATGAAGATCATGAGATGGGTGACCGCGATCGCGAAGGCGATAGCCCTATGCGTGAAGAACGCGAGCCGGCACAACAGACCCAGCCGCCTCGCACACGTACCAAGATCACTTATGACAAATACATGAAGATCTTGAACTTGCTTGTACGACGTGTGCGCGAAGATGAGTCGATGTCTGGCGAAGGTGTTGAACAGGAAGAACTTCTCGTCTGGTACCTGGAACAAGTCGAGTCTGAATTGGAAACCGAGGAAGATCTGGAGCAAGAACGCTCCCTGGCTGTCAAGGTTCTGAAGCGGATGGTCAAGGTACGTACTGTGTTGCACTTACCCCCGCTCCATTCTACTGGTCTCATGCTAATTCACCTGGACAGGACAACATTCTTATGCCTATTCGTGGACAAGGTCTGGTCGACCCAGCTGATGAGTCTGCCCAAGTGGAGCGGACTATCTATGTCATGCATCCCAACTGCGCCATCGATGAGGAGTGATTCTGCGCCTGGTGTACTAGGAATAGGGCGATGTATTAGGAAATGGTGAAGCAGGAGTAACGGTGCCCGGTGCCCTTGGTCGTTATGAGTGATGATTTTCTGATCTATTTTTACATGAACTTACTCGCACATTGTCGGTGGAGCGTATGTGATCTTGGACTCGAGTCTGGAGTACATGCATGGGTGGCAGTTTTGCCTTCATAATCTATGAATATAATAGCTCATGAATTGCCGATACGTCCATTCATCCTTGAACTTATCTTTTCTCATTTCCATCTCGTTTGATATGATACTTGGCTCATTTATCGTTACATTATTCATCATCTATACCATTTCTACTTGAACTCACCCTTGCTCCATATATAGAAGCTATCCTTGGAGGTCTCTTCAGCCTTATTCCCCTTCGTCTACTCTTCCCGAGACTTGACTTTGCCCTACCTGGTCAAGCCTTTTCAACTTACCTTGCTTACATCCTACTCTCACCCAGCACTCATTCTGAACAACATACGCGCATTTTTTTTTTGTCAATAAAGTTAGCCATTTCCTCGAGCACCTTCATCTTTCCTGACTATCAGACCTCCCTTGGCTTTGCAGTTGTCATACTCAGTCACTACTCAATCAAGCTTCACCCTTGCTGAATCACTCTCTGCCCTCATCTTGAACTCGTTCTTCGCGCCGTTGGGCCAACATTCTGCCATATAAAACCACCCATCCTCATCCTTTCTTGTTCTTCCATCCTTCTCAGCCAATTCCCTGACATATAAATACCACCCATTCTCTCATAATCTCCTCCTCTTCCACCCTTCCCACCCAATCTTCTCACATACAAACACCACCCATCCTCATCCTCTCCTGTTCTCTCACCCTTCTCAGCCAATTCCCTGACATATAGATACCGCCCATTCTCTCATAATCTCCTGTTCTTCCACCCTTCCCAGCCAGTCTCCTGCCATATCAATACTCAGCCACCTTCACATACTCCTCTCGTTCTCCTTTTCCTCTCGATCAACTTTCTTATACTTCTCGCACCTTACACCCTATATCCAAGCCGAATTCTCCGTATAACCAGCTCTCGCTTCCTTACTTCCCTTGAGAGTCCCCTCACTGCCTTCCTCTACACTCCCGTCAGCCAAACCTCCTGCTTTCACGCTTCCCTCAGCCACTGTTCCTTCTTCCTCAAGTCACCTGATCATATATACCTTAGACCGCTTCACCCGTTCACCTTCTCATCTACATACTTCCACGTGACTCGAGATATCTCGCGAACCATGTCCACAGGCGCCTCCACAAGCCCGGAGGAGAAGAGGGCCTCTCAGGCGGAGACAGATACAAGCAACCGAACCGAGGCTCCGGTGGCCGCAGCGTGCCAGCAAGAACTCGATATCACCCAACTGCTCATTGAAAAGGCAGGTACGACGGCTAATCTCGACGATAGCAGCCATCAACTTCGCCTAAACCCAAGTAAGCCAGCTTTCTTGCATATGGAATCGATCATTTCATCGTGATACTGATGTTGCAAATCAGACGATCGCTGGATCACAGACGCCGGTCCGGTAATGCAATTGGCTCCCATCTCTAGCCTCAAACATTCGAATGGAGAGGATTCGCTTTTTGTTCCGGACTCGAGGAGTTCCGTGAAGCCTCCGTCGCTCCCTCCCGCCGATGTGCAGATGGCGCATCCAGATGAACTCATCGCACCTTGTGTTCAGGGCGCTATTACTTCCATGCAGCCTCCGTTTTTCCCTCCCGCTGATGTGCAGATGGCAGATGCAATCGCTCCACAGTGTAATCAAGACTTTTCCACTGCGATGCAGCATTCGGCTGGGCCAAATTTGGAACAACTCATCGGGGCGAACTCATGGGACATGGAAATTGAAGCCGTACTGAAGGGTTTGAATGGTGAATGTCAAGCCACGACTAACGATCCACTTGAGAATGCAGAGCCCATGAATGCAGAGCTTGGTGAAGCGGGCAAGGATCCTTCGGCAGATGTCACGGGAAATGACGAAAATCCCCGACAATCGTTGGATGATGTGCCTGTCGCTTCTTCAGCGTCAACTGGAGCGGAAGATGCTGACCCTCGAGCAGCGAATCTGGCTCATGAGGGTGAGGAGGCCGAGTGGCCTGATGATGAGCTTGATGCTATAGCCCAACAAGATAATTCGAACGCAGAGTGAGTGACATATGATTTTACTCCATCAGGACTGTGACTAATTACTGGTTATAGATTCAAAGCTGCAGAACGCCACTTTCAGAGCATTGAGAATCCTTCTTTGGCAGATCAAATTCTCTTCGAAGCTGCTGAAATGGAAGAAGAAGCGCGCGAAAGAAGAGTCGCCGCGAGAGAAGCTTTTCAGGCAGAGAACCAATCGACAATCTCTAATGAAAAGGATTCAGGAGCAGTGCTCGATGAGCAAGTGCCTGCTGAAGTCATGGCGCAGCCGTCGGAGAGTACCGTGCAGCCTTCCCAGGATGCCGTCAAGTCGACTGCTGGGCAGGGGCAACGTTCACGAGTACCACGAAACAGAAAGAATAGACTTTCAGCTGAGGAGAAGCGCAAGAGCAAGAAGTATGGTCTCAATTCCGTTTTAAAGCAAATGGGTCAGAAAACTGCAAGAAAGTCTAGAAAACGGAAAAGTGAAGACACTACCCCTGATCCCGAGCCAGTCGATGCTCCCAAACGCAAAAAGGCAAAAGGGTTTACTACTCAGGCATCTAAGGAGTTTCTCAGAACTCTCATCACCCCCAACGTTATCGAAGATGCGCACGCTAGCGCTTCTGCACAGGCCATGCCTGAGTTTGGAGAGAGGGACAAAGAGAAGGCATTCAGACGGATGATTGCCAGTATTCCTGCGGCGGATCTTGCCGAAGCGAAGTCAGATCATAAGCAAATAATAAACGCAAGCCGCAAATTCTCGAAAGGTGTGAGAAAGGATGGGACGGGAGGTTATCGCATCCCAGGCATGAGAACAAGCCTGTACCACTACCAATTGCTGGGAGCAGCATTCATGCGCGATCGGGAGAACTCATCTTATCCACCCTACGGCGGATTTCTGAGCGACTTCATGGGTTTGGGTAAGACCATTCAAGCACTAGGTGAGTAAAAATCTTAGGCCTCCCATCATCATACCATGCTGACGAAAGCCTAGCAAACATCGTCGATGGGCGGCCCTCAGACCCAGAAGATCCCATCAAAACCACACTGATTGTTGTTCCATCACATTTGGTATCTCATTGGAAGAATCAAATTATCAGACATTGCGATGGTATTAAACTCAAGGAGATCGTCACTTACTGTGCTGGACATAGATTGGATACATTGGACATCGTTGGAAGCCTCCAGGAATACAGTATCATCATCACCACGTATGACGAGGTGAGAAGGTCATACCCTCAAAGCTGCAAGCCACCAGCGGCGACCGGGACTGAGGATGAAGTAATTGCATGGTGGGATAAACATTACGAAGAGCATCTCGGCCCCCTGCATAAGATAAAGTATCACCGGATCATTCTTGATGAGGGGCACCTCATCAGAAACCATGGTTCAGCTGTATCGATGGCTGTCTGTGCTTTGACTGGCACTAACAAGTGGATCCTGAGTGGCACGCCTATACACAACTATATCGATGAACTATTCCCTCAGTTTGACTTCCTGGGGGTCCCCGGCACTAAAACCCATGAAACGTTCCTCAGAGATTACTGTCAGGATGAAAATGGCCATATGCGCCTGGTCAACCTCATACGATCATTCATGCTCCGCCGAACTCACGCCAGCCGGCTTTTCTCATTTCCTTTGGTCAAACTACCGGATGTTCGTGATGAAGTCATCAAAGCCGAGTTCTGTGATGCTGAACGTGAGCTTTACAATGCCATTGAAGACCTTTTCATCCAGAACATCAATCAACTTGCGAAAGACAAGCACCCGAAGCTGGCTCAATACCGATGTTTCCTGACAATGATACTGATACTCCGCATGTTCTGCAGTCACCTTCTAACAGCTCATGATATCATCAAGAAACTACTCTCAGAAAGACTTCTTATGGCGAAACTCTCTAGGATGGCTAATGGGCGAGGCGAACAGGACCCCACGTTCATAATAGTACAACGACTGATCGCGATCCGCAGCAACCCAACAGTCATCTGCGATAAACGCGAAGAGCATCTGGTTCATTCTCCAAATCTTCAAGGAGATAGGGAGAAGCTAGTAAGGGACTATTATGACTTGATGCTCAAACTCCATGAAAGTGAGCAGTGGGACGAACGTCTTAAGAGGAACAGTTGTCCGCACTGCAAGTACGTTCCCGTCTATCCCGTCATCACATCATGCCATCATCTCTACTGCGAGGAATGCTATAGTTTTCTCTCTGTCAATGTGAGTACAGATGAGGGCAAGCCCATTTGCCGTGTCTGCCAAGAACCTATTCAGGAAGCAGCCTATTGTGACGCGGTCGAAGACATCGAGCTTACACGGACACATCCCACGCAGAACCCGCAACAAGAAACAGCGGCTCAAAGCAAGAAGAACAAATCCAAGGCGGGCGTGTGGCGAAAGCCCCAGGGCTCATTTCGGCGACCGGCTTACCTGAACTCGGATGAGGAGCCACCTACCGAGCCAGATGCAGACGAGCAAACAGACTGGATAGAAGCATGCGCGAGTCAGATGCCATCGGCCAAAATGACCAAGATCCAAGACTTGGTGGCGAAATGGCTGGCTGAGTCGCCAAGGAACAAGATCGTTATCTTCACTCAGTTTCTCGACTTCATCCGCATTTTGGGTAAGATGTGCCAGAGGGAGAAGTGGCCGGTAACTTCGGTAGGGAGTTCATTTCGAACCTGCTGATCTCCAATTCTTCAGAAGCACTAACAATGTGTAGTTAACTGGAAAAATGAACCTGGCCAAACGAGAAGCAAGCATGAAGCAGTTCAGCGACGTGAACGGCAACACGAATATCATGCTGGCGAGTCTGAAGGCTGGTGGCATAGGACTGGATTTGACCGCGGCGAACAAGTGCATTCTGGTCGATTTGTGGTGGAACGATGCCGTACAGGATCAGGTACGGACACCACCCCCGGGTCTCTCATATCTGCGCGTGAAAAGGCAAACAGGTTGTTAACTCGATCCCAGGCTTTCTGCCGGCTGTGGCGCATTGGCCAAACTCAGGAGGTGGAGTACAAGAAGATCATCGTCAGTGAAACCATCGATGACTATCTTCTCCGGCTTCAATCAGAGAAACTGGCATCGATCGAGGAGACCATCGGCGACGAAAAGCTCAAGGGCCGCGACACAATGGCAGAACTGCTCAACATGTTTGCAGATGTCCAGGTAGAGAACGGCGCCTTCAGATTAACTCGCAAACCCAAGAAGTCGAATGCGTCCTCGAAGCCAGACGGCAAGGTAAATGAGAAGCAGAACGATCCCCCGGAGTCGGAGCCAGTCCCTGCCGATTCTTGAAGTCTCCGGTCGACACTGAGGCTTTACTATATACAAGACAAACTTGGAATTTCTCTTCATTTCTGCTATCTCATTTGTGATACCCCTCAACTTATCGTCTTAAATATTTCATTGAAGGAAAACCTAGTATATCTAAATAGGTACTAAAACGTCTGGCTATGCTTCTATGCTTTCAAAAACTTCAAGAACTTCGGACAGTAATAAGTACCCAACCTCCCAAAAAAAGAAGTCACATATTGAAGTAGAGGTATCACATTAGCTATCGAGCTCTTAAGCTTCAGAATACAATACAATTGCCCATCGAACAACAACCCCGATGTTTGCCCGCAGCCCGAAACGAAGCGTAGGAAGTAATGGAACATGAAAACAAGCAGGCAAAGCGATCAACACTATAGGCACTCTCAGCTTTTCGTCTTGTCCCATTTCATCCTTCTTCAGGGCTGGGATCCCGCAGAAACATACACACTTGCACAAAGAGTTCATCTACAAGCTCAAGCAAGCAAGCACAGCCTACAGTCTTCTCGTACCACGGCGGACCTTTTTGCCTCCCGCAGCCGCATCAATCTGTGCCTGTGTCTGCTGCAGCATTTGATCCCCCTGCGTCTGCTCCTCCCGCTGCCTCGCCACCGAGAGCGCAAGCGCAGCCATCTCCGACGCTGTCAGGCTCTGCGAGGACCAGGGTAGCCAGAGACCACTTGCATCCGGCGCCACCTGATCATGCTCCGCGAAATCAAACTCGGGTGGAGGGTTGATAGTAATTTCGTCGACTGAAGCCAGTGCAGGGTGTTCTGTGCCATTATCCATGGGCAGCTCTTGGCTCCTGTGCACTACCGAGAACGGTGCCACGAGGTCTGGGACGTGCGTCCACGGTCCGAAGGTGGCCTCGGGCTCGTCGAAAAACGCTGCAGATGAGGTGCTGGCATCGCCTGTTATGGGGGTGAGGATGGTGGTGAGGTGGGCGTTGGCATCCCAGTTGAAGGCATTTGTGTCCATGGAATGTTGGGTGGTGGGCGTGCTGGAGAGACTGTTCTCAGGGGCGGGGAACATGGTGATGTTTTCGAGATCGAGGTCGAGATCCATGTCCATGTTCATGTCTGCGTCCGTGTCCAGGTTGGTGTTGAGGGTGAGGTCCTGGATTTCGATGATGTGGGTGTTGCCGTTACGGGTGCTGCTGTCTTCGTGTTGGTTCTCCCCTCCTCCTCCTCCTTCCTCTGCGGGCTCACCGTTCCAAGGTCCCTCATCGATGTTCTCCTTGTCTTCGTCCCATGGAGCGAAGACGTTCACTCTGATCTCTTGGAATTGAATCTCGATGTCGTCGGGGTCTTCGTAAATGGGAAATCCTGTTCTTGATAAAAAATCATGGTATTGATGATGATTCTGGTAATCAGCCTGGGTCTCTGCTGCTGCGCGAGGTTCATTATCAGTGGAGAGATAGTTCAGGGGATACTCTGAGCTGAGAATGGGAATGTAAGTACGATAAGTGTGTCTCAAGGAGGAGGAGGAGGAGTGGGAGGCCGTCGGTGGGATAGCACAGTCGGCTGTGTCTGCCATTTCACCAGCAGTAGTCCCCACGGTACCATTCATAGGAGAAGAAACAGAGAGTGTGCTTGGAAGGCTACTTGGCTCGTCCACTTCATGGACCATGGCCAGGTCAACATCCATGTGCTGTCTATCCGCTGAGCCGGCGGCCCTTGCGTGCGAGAACTTCATTGGATCGAGGAGAGAGGCAGCACATGCAAAGCTGGGCAGGGTCAAGGCTGGTTCGAGAGCGTCCGTACTGTTCCGCTCGGTCTTACGCTTCTTGTCGTAATGACGGCGTGGAGGGGAGCTTGCGTTCTTGTTTTCGCAGTTTCTCGGTTTGCCGTCGTCAAGATCCTCCGCCTCTCCGCGCTGCGCGAATGTGCGGACTTTGACATTTGGAGAAGAGGATCGCTTCGTATTGTACGGAGGAGTGATCATTTTGACGCTGTGGTTCTTGGTTGGCCGGGACTGATTTCGTGAGGTGTCAGTATATATAGGATCACGAAAGTTTTGGTTTTAGACAAGTCTGCGCAGTCAAGGTTGATATTAATGGACTATCAAGACACAGGTTCGACTCACAGTGTCCATGGTTTCAGTACACTTGTACAGATGCTTTCTGCTCGCGTTTTGGTTCTCAAGCAGGCAGACGCCTCTCTGTATCATACCCAGCTGTTCGTTCTCGGAGGCCGTCAAGTTCAACTTAGTCCTGGTGAATGCGGATAGAGAAGAGTAAACCTCTTACACCCCAATGTGGATGCAGATCTGAAGATATAGACACACCAAGATTATGAGACATAAATCTTGGCGTCCCTGTTGTGGTGAAAGTGGAGGAAATACTGTACTTTGCCGCTCCTCGTCACGCCGGAAAACCAGTCAAACGAGGCTGGCGATAGCGATGAGATAGCGATGACGAATCGTCTCATCCCTGTACGAACCTAATCAATGAGGCAAGAGCAGAAACTGAGTAAGAAAGCTGCCATCGCCGGCATAAGGCTTGTTGACGGTGGAGTCAGAGAGGGATCCCAGGGAAGGATGGAGTGGAGGGGAGGGAGAAGGAGGGAATTCGCAACTGGAAAGCGGGCCAATCTATAAGAGGCAAAGCCAAAGCGCGCAGGCTCATGATTCACTGCATAAACTCCCAATGTCAACTAGATCGTTGGGATGATTACCTGTCGAGTGTGTCCTACTATACCTACACTTTTCCTACAACTGAACTACAATCAAGGAACCATGGTCGAACAATAGAACTTCATTGGAGCCATCAGGCCTTCTAGAAACCCAGGCGCATTTGTGATGGCGTGAGGTCATCTTTCTGTTAAAGATAAGACCTAGTATCCGCCCATTGCTCTCGATTTTGTCATTTAATTGGAAGGGGTTGTCCCGCAAAGGATAAATCCAGTGGTGATACAGTCTCTCAGTACTCGTCACAGAGCCGATATCCTGTCAGCATGCCTTCCACACCCACATCTGCCATGCATCCAGCTAGAAGCAAAATAAGTAGGTAAGAAACAGATACAGGCAATGCCCATGTATCAAGATAGCATAGCAAGGGGGGGTTGGCGGGCGCCTGCAAGAGATGGACGAATCTGTGTTCGAGATATCCTCCATTACCTAGAACTAGGACGAGCAACCGGGCACCCTCACTGTCCAGATACGCTTATCTGAACTGTCCCGGTCCAATCATGCCACCTCGGGCGTCACCGCCAACTTGACCGAACATATCCAACAGGTGTCGAGATGAAGGTGGAGGGCCTTGTGGTGGGGGACCGCCCTCGAAAGGAGGCTGTCCGCGAGGTCCATGTCCCATCATAACATCGCCGTTATGTGGCATGGGCGGAAACGAGGGCGGGGGGCCGTTCATGTAACCAGGGGGAGGCATCATCCCAGGAGGCGGAGGGAAGCCGGCCGAACCACCGCCATTGGCGCGCGGGAAAGGCTCACGCTCGTTGAGAGGAAGAGCACTCCCATGCATTGGCATCATGTTTGCCATGTAGGTAGGGTTTACACCACGGGTAGGAGTTGGGATACCTGGGGGAGGGGCCAGAGGCGCCGGCCCACCAGCAGGCTGCGGGGGCATTTGGGGGCCCGCCCATCCAGGAGGCGGCATATGTTCAAAGCCTGGCGGTCTTTGCATACCCATAGGAGGATGTCCCTGACCGTGAGGAGCCCTGGTTCCACCGGGCGTGATGGGGACTTGGCCGCCAGGAGGGAAAGGAATGTCATCAAAGTATCCCATCGGAGGCCCATTCACAGGCCGTCTCCGAAGGTGTTCAGCGTCAGGTCTCTGAATATTCGCGATCGCTGGATCATCCAGAAAGTTGGGGCCCTTTTGAGGAGGAGGGATACCAGGGGGAGGAGACAGTACATCCGGCATGTTCATCATACCGGGGACAGGACCGGCACTCTGTGGCTGATTTTGGCCACCCGGAGCAGGGCCATTTACAGGCGTGACGCGAACTTGCTGCATCAGTCGTAGAAGGTGCTCTCTATCACGAGCCTGGGTTTCCGGGGGATATGGATTTTCCTTGAATGGAGGGCCAGCGGCTCGAGACGGCGTCTCCAGCATAGCCAGATACTCCTGTCGCTTGATATGCTCCCGAGCAGGCGAAGAGACGGCGCTCTGAACCTGTTCCGCCTGCACCAAGGATGGAGGCCGATTAGCAGGCATAGGATCATTATGTGGTGTCCCGTTACGCGATTTTCCGCCTCCAAGCATGAGCAGAATACGTTGAAATCCTTCTTGATCGGCATCAGTGGAACCGGCAGGCGTCATAGCTGGGGACCTGGTATCAGGTTGAGGTTCTGGGTCTCTCGCAGGGCTTCCTGGCGGAGGACTGAAAAGCCCAGCAAACCGAGACGACTTCATGGCTTTAGCAGCAGCTTGGGCCTCCTTCTTCGGAGTTGCCTCCACATGCACAGGCGGAGCGCTGACCTCCGGCGCAGGCGCAGGCGCAGGCGCAGGCTTGGATTCGCTCAGCAATCCAAAGAAACGCTCCATGGCCGAGTCCTGCTGGAAGGGGGTGCCATTACTGCTGAAAATCTCCCCATCGGTAGGTCGAGTATCAGGCTGCTGAGGGGGTGCAACTTCAGCGTCGACAGGAATCTCGTGGTTGTCCGTTGCATGAGGCTGAGATCCGGCTTTCATTCGCTCCTTCCAACGCTCAAAGTCCTCTTGTGTATGCACTCTCCGATACTCATCCTTATCGTTGGTGTCTAGCCATTCAGGCTCCTGCTCAAGTTTGGCACCGCGGGTCCAATCGCGATCAGCACCGTGTCGATCCCGACGCCATTCTCGGTTACGGATCGGGGTCTTGTCCTCCTCCGCTTCGGGTGTCTCGTGGGGAGCGTTGTCCTCTCGGAACCAGCTTCCTTCATGCCTAGCGCGCCCCGGTGTACCATCCTTGCGAAGGGTGAACCGGGTATCCTTGCTGTCTCTCACAGTCCGATCATGAGTCGGCTCGCGTTGGTCGCGATTATCC